TTTCCCTGACAGTGAACCCCCGAGTTCCTAATGAACCAACCTGTCCCATTGTCGGAGAAAATGCCCTTCCTCTGGGGCGGGGCCGGGAAATGAGGCCCAAGTGGGGCGGCTCGGGCTGACCACTCACGTGGTGCCGCTTTGGGAGGGTGCTGGGGACTGGCTTCCTTGCCCCACCCCCACCCATTCCAGCCGAGAGCAGGGGGAGGAGCTTACACTTCGGGCTGAGACGTGGGTGGGGAGGGAGGGCTCTGAGAGGACAGGAGAGCAGGGACGACACACTCACTGTTCAGAGAAGCACTGCAGGTCAGACCCGTTCATCCCAAAGGAGGCAACTGCTTTGTGTATATGCCCGTTTTGATAAAAATTCTTATGGCCTGAGACATTGATTTTGAACCTAAAATGGGTTTCAGATTTTGATTTGGCTACACAAATTCTGGAAACTCCAACATCCTAAATAACTTCATCTCTTTTTTCGGTGCCTTATTTATTTACCCTCCTTCTGTTAGTCAAGCTCTCAGTCACTCTGAGCCCATAAAGCTCTGTTCTCCCTCCTCCAGCTCCTGTCCGGATATGAAACTTCCCTCTCTCTCCAGTCATTCTTACAGACTGGGTTTTCTACAAACTGCCAGCTCTCTCTTCAAAATTACTGCTTAAAATGAGAAACTGCAAGCAGAAAGGCGAGAATTCTCTTACAGGGCATTCATAGCTTATACTTAACAGTGCTTTACTACTTATAAAGCCTTGTAATGTGTATTATCTACCTAATATAGACCAGGAATTCTTTTAAAAGGCAGCTTTAAGTCTGGAAATCACTTTCCCAAGGTCACAGCTGAAAAGTGGAGGAGGTATTACCCAAGTTGGGGTTTCTGACTCTTTTCAGGGTACTTTACACACCAGCCAAGCACAGTGTTTAACAACACAGGGCGTGCAGTACACCCGAGACAGCAGGCGCTCAATAAATGTTGGTGGGCTAAATGAGCGAAAACAGCCAAGTTTGGATCCTGGCTCTAGCACCAACTTGTGTGACCTTGGTCAAAGTCTTTTAAACCCACTAGAGCCTCCGTTTCTTTGTCTGTAAAATGGAGCTCTAGTAGAATCCATTCTCCTTGGATGGGAAGCCATGCCTGAGGATTAAATAAAACAATGACTATAAATCACTTAGAACAGTGCCTAGCACACAATAAGTGCTCAAAATATGATAAATATGATTATTAAAAACAACAAGAATCTAGGACCTCCCACTTACTCAGCTTTCCCCAAATACTGGGAACCTGTTTAAAAAAAATAACAGCACACAATAGCAAGGCAGCAGGCCTGCCTGCTTCCAAAGGGAAGGTGGGAGGCAATATTTCTGTGTGTGTAAAATGGGACCTTTTAAACCACTCAGCTCTATGATTCAGAGTGTAAACACTAGTTGGTGACATTTACCATGAACTATGTCAGGATAAAGAATTTTAAAGTTCTTCACCTGAAACTAACAATAAAATTAAAAAAAAAAAAGAATTTTAAAGTTCTTGAAAAAGTGACCTCTTAGTGGCAGCAAACATGACCTGTAGCAGAAAACAAAGTGCTAGTAATGTTCTCAGTGAGAAAAAAAGGAGTTTGAGAATCCCATCCCACCTGATGGAACTGCCAGCAGACTTAGGGAAATGATATTTCTCCCATCAATTTGGTAAGGACCTCAAGAAGAGGCCCCAGGGCAGGGAGGGTCAGTAAAATCAGAAAGGCCCCAGCTCTTACACAAATGCTGGAAAGGGCTTAAGAGAATAAGGCCCCTTTGCTTAGAAACATCTGCCCCATTCTAAAAGTAACTGGGCTTAAGACCACACTTAGCTACCACAAATGTGCTTAAAACTGACTATTTCAGGAAGAAAGGCACTGCTGTCGAAATGAACTTGCCGAAATGTAAGTTGACCCGTTGCTGAACAAACTGCCAAAGGCAGCGTCCACAGTAGATTAGAGTATGCTTGACTAGAAGGAACTGTGAGATGGTCTCCTCTAACTTCCACCCTTTTGCCTTGTACAGAGGAAGTAACTAACCCAGACACGGAAAGTGACTCATTCAAGGTCTCTGGGTAACTAACAGAGGACCGGGTGCAGCCACTGTTCTAACCTCGGACTCACTGGGTCCTCTTAATAACCCGACTGGGCAGGCAGATTTCCTATCCTCAGTTACAAACAGGAAACTGAAACACAGGAAGGCTAAGCATCTTGTCCAAAGTCCCAGAACTCGCAAGCGGTGGCCCTCAAGTTGAGGTTCCCTGGCCCAAGGTGTAGTTCCCAAGAGCTCCCAATTGAGTTGTGTTTGAGATGCCACCTTCAGCAAGAATTCTTTTTCAATACAAGCCCTTGAAAATGAAAAATGTTTCTTCATTTCTTGAGAAAACTGTATTTCATCATAAAGCAGAAGATACTCTAAGTCCCAAATAGACCATAAACTTGGCCTAGAAGTCAAGACATGAATTGGAGAAAATGTGATTCCAGCAACAAAATGGGCAGTGTGCAGAGACAGCGAGAAAGATGAGCCCAGTGAGAAGCCTGGCCTCCTGTCCTGGAAGAAAGGACCAGTCTCAGCAGGGCCTGACAGGCCAGAAGCTGCCACCCCTTGGCTGAGAGTCTGTCCTCACTCAGCTGAGGGATTGAAGGCAGAAAAGCCCTAGCAAATCCACCCACGGGGTTTACCGAGCATCTCCCACGGGGACAGTAGCATGAGGGCGACCGCCTATTTGTAGCTCCCTGATGCCCTTGTACAGAACAGAAGCTCGGGATGTTTGCTGGTGGACTAGTTTTTAAGGTGGATTCACTATTTAAGAAGGGGAACTATTGGGAGAAAAAATTACCATGGTCAGACCCCGGGAAAAGCATTGGCTTGAATCGTGTCTATCACGCAGCGCTCCCGAGAGGAGCTAGAAATGTGACTCCACTCCAGCTGGGACCTTGTCTGTCTCCTCATCTCTGTAACCCAGGGCCAAGCACAGTGCCTGGCACACCACAGGCTCTCGATTAATGCAGCTTGAATAACTGAACTGTGGGTGCCCCATGTAGGGCCTCAAATGCTAGGTTGACAGGCCAATGCTAGTTATCATTTTTATGAGCTGCATTACAGTAAATGCCCAGCAGAGGTCAGAGTACAGTCTTTGGTGCTGAGTTGATAATTTCATCAACAAAACATTAAAGGAGATAAAGAAGGAGCCAATATTTGCTGGGAACCCTTCAACTCTGCGAGGCATTGTGCTTGAGGCCTCACATATGTTTTCCCTCCAAATGCTTATGACTACCATTCAAGATGGATATTATCAAATTCATAGTAATGCCCTCCAACCACTCTCACTCACCTCAAAGTTTTTCCAACATTGACTCTAATGATAAGATTTCCTCTTTTTCTTCTCCTCTCATTCTAAAAGTTAACTCATTTCATGCAAACCTGCTAGTGCATGACATAGCTCCTATTCAAATCACAGGTAAATTGGAGGATTCACACAAAAAAATCCAAAAACAAAACAAAATATCACCAATACACTGTGAATTCCCCAAAGCATTTAAAAATAAGAATTGGCAGTTAACGTCCCAGCACCACATCTAACGCACAATGGTGAGGTGCTCTGTATTCCCAAATAGACACCTCATTTGTTAAAAGGGGGTGTATGGAGTCTCACTATTAATTCTTTCTAATTTCCATCATATGTCTGAGTGGTGTGAAATTAGTATTCTATCTACTAGAAAATAGCTCAACATGATCTGGCAGTGGATCTCCAGATATTTCTGATCAGCCTATACAAGTCACTTCTACAAAAGACAGAGAGCTCTATTTTCTGTCTTGAGCAATATTTGGGGGCTTTCTTGTTAACATCTGCTGACAAAGTCAGACAGGGAAAAGAATATAATCCCCATGAGCCAGGTACTTTGCTACTCAAAACAGACCCTGCCCCAGCACATTCTGCAGCCAGCCATAGGAACCACGCTCAGCCGGCAAGGAAGAGCCGCCACCAGCCAGAAGTACATTGTTCAAACCAGTCCACTTCCCTCTGCTTGTTGTTTTGTAAGGAAGGTCAGTTAGAAGCGTTTGAGAGCAGTCAGATAATGATGCACTTGGTAGCTCCCGGGTGCCGCCTATCGTATTATCAACCCAGCCAATGCCTCTCTCTTCAGACAGCTGCAGCAACTCTTCCGAGCACAGCTGACAAGCTCTAAGTGACAGAATCAGCTCCTCTGACATCTAGAACATCTGGTTCATTTAAGAAGTGAAAGGAGATACTAGTACCCCAGTGTGTTTTTAATGGGGCTTACAAAATGGTTAGGAGATACTAGTTCAAAAAGGACAGAAGGAAAGATAGCATTAGGAGGTCACTCCACAGAGTTAGAGATTATTTTTATAAGTATTCCCCGAGATAAATTCTTTCTACATTTTTCAAACAAAACTCTCAGTATCTGATTTGATTCACAAAGGTGAAACAAAGGCTAGCCACAGAAAAATATTCAGATGCTTAAATGCATTGCAGAGCAGAACAGAGCACAAAGAGTTATCAGGAAATCAGAAACTCGGTGGTTATTCACTCCCACACCTAGGCATTTCACCAGTTTTGCTCTGTGACAAAACCAACATTATGGCTGAGTTCCCTGAGGAGAGAGAGCACTGGCAGGAGAGGGCCCCTGGGTGGCAGTGCAATTGTTTTATTCAGCTGAGTCTGGACCAAGACAAGCTCTGATCTGAGGAGACCTGCATGAGGCTTTTCAGCAAAGAGAGCGAGCTAAAGGTAGAGGGTGGTTAGCGGCCCTGATACCAACTATTCCACTCCCTGTGAAACCCGAGTTTGTAAATCTAGACCCTCAACCCTCCCAAATGACACTGCTAATTTGCACTCCCACCAGTTCTCTGGAGAAGGCCCGCACTGTCCAACCCGTGAAACACTTGGGCCAAGGTGAGAAGAGAAAGAGCCCCGCTCCTCTTCCTGTTGGTGGAGAGCAAGAGGGAGGCAAGCCACCTTTCCTCCATCACTGACCTGCTGTGGAGGGTGGAGTTGGTGATGACGGAGATGTGAGAGGTGAGCTGGCCCCAGATCCTGCTAAGAGAACACACAGAAACACACATGGGGACCAAAGAAAGACATTTGGAATTTGGTCCTAGCTGAGCCTACCGCTGTCTGAGAATCTGCACTTGGCTTAGTGTGTGGGCCTTGTGGTGAAAGGTGAGGAGGGACAGAGAATTTAGAGACTGGACCGGTGACCACAGGCTTCCGCTCAGGGCCTGGGGCCTCCCCTCTTCCCTTCTCTCTCCCCCGAGTCCTTCTCTGGCCTAGACTCTGCAGACAGTAGTGTCAGCATGATTCTCACCCTCTTTCTGGAGTCTACCATCTTCTCCCATCCCAACTCCTCCAATTTTCAGCTCCGTCCACACCACCTGCGTTCTCTGCTGTGGCTAATCCAGTCTTTGGGTCTTGTGTGCTATTCACTATTTTTTCGTGCTCCCAGCAGATATCTTCCTTCCTGACTTCACAGAGAAGACTGGAGAAGGCACGAACTGTGAACATCCTCAATTTCTTCCCTTCCCTTTGCTTTTAAATGCCTCTACCTCTTTACCTGCCCCTCAGGGCTCCTGCCTCCAAGGAGAGATGGACTGGCTTCCTCCAAGGCTGAGACTGATAGCTGGGCTCTTGATGCTAAGCTCTTGGCCTTCTAGCCCCTTCACCCCATCATTCTCTCTTTTGCATCTTTGGATTCTCCCTCTCTGCTAGGTCCCTGCTGCTGCCTAAAAGTATATGGCTATTCCTCAACCTAAAGAAACCTCCCCTTCCCTTGGCCTTCTAGGGCTAAGCCAAAGCTGCCTGAGTTAGAATGAAACCTCCCCTCCTCTGCATGGAACTCTACTTCACAGATTCACAAGGTAGAAGAAACGGAAGGCCCCAAGGGATCATTAAATCTAGTCCTGACTTCCAAAGTTGGGGACATTAAGGTCCAAAGCCAGCAGAGCTGCGTGAGGGGCAGTTGGGAGTGACAGCGATGACTTGCCAACTCAGGACAGTGCTCTCTGTACTATATCAGTCCTTCTGGAATGATGCTTTTTGCCATCCCCCAAAACTATCAAGTCCTTTCCTTAACACAGGAGGGCACATTCTCCTACCGCATGGTGACCGCAGCAGAGGACAGGATTTAGGGGCACTTCTGTTTGTGCAGGCTCCATTAAAAAATAGGAGGCCCCATTTTTCAAAGCAAATTGAATGCTGCCTGGGTTTGTTTTGTGTATTTTCACTAGGCTCTTTCTTTTTTTAATGACAGAATATATACCTTATATCAGCATTACAGTTTCGCTATTTGTGTTCTGATAAATTAATGTAAAAACACGCAGCGCATTAAATGCCACTGTGCCTGGAGGCACATGGCACATTTAGCGTTTCACACATTTAAAACATTTAAGACATTTAAAACATGTCCCCGGTTTTAAAAAGAGGAAGGGGGAGAGGAAGAGGAAGAGGGATAGAAGGGGAGGGGAAAGGAAGAAAAATGGATGGAGGGCTGAATGAGAGCCAGGGGCCTCAGGCTGGCAGAGACTTGGGGAAGAAGGCTGAAAACTACCAGCTGGAAAATCTTTGAGATGGAACTGCAGGCTTGCTCAGCATTATTAAAAAGTGGGTGGGCGGGGGGGAAGAAAACAGGAGGCCTTGCATTTTAAGTTGCGTTGGTTTTTCTTCCATGGCTAATGCTCATCTTTTGTTGATCGAGTCTTGCCATCAGTGAGGAGGCTGAGTTACCCAATAACCTCTGAGGTCCCTTCCAGCACTTGAATTCTGTCGTAATCCTTCATTAGGGACAGAATTCTTTTGTTTTCTACATTCATTACCACACTTGGGCCAACAAAACCCAAGACCTCTTGACCGGATACAGACTCCTGGTCCCGATCTTTGGGTGCTGGGCTCCACTACAATCTACAGCCAGTTACCTGAATTATTGGAGTTGCTATATTTTGCTGAATGGTCTTCACTATTTTCAATAGCAGATCGCTTTGACTTCTTTAAAAATAAAAAGACAGGGGGAAAAGCAAAGAATAAATACACTGAAGCTGAGAGTCAGAATAAAAATATTTTTTAGGCACACAGTTAAACATCTACATACGAGGTCATATTTGGCCTCATAATTTAATAGAGTGAAGAAGTCACAAGCCAAAGCCAAAGGGGAAAATAAAACCAAGAATGCTGACTATTATCTCGGGCCAATCACTCCCCCCAGTTACATTAGGACATAATCAGCCCAGCAAGCCAGGAAACTATATGGTCCATTTCTCTGCTGATATTATGTGGCTCTTTTTTTAAAAAGCTGCAAACCAGTCATCTGGAAATAGTTTTAGCTTTCAAGGAGCTATAGCAGAAAATCTGTCATTAACTAAATGTGCACCATTAGCCTAGAACCTTCTTCACATGTAACCTAGAACTTTTCTTTACACAGAGTGAATTCAGAGAGACACCAGGCTTACCTTTCGGGCTAAAATCTTTCTCTTTTTTCTTTCTTCTTCAGATCCATGGTGAGACTGAGCTCTTGTCAGTCTTCGGTGCTGGTGAATCTATAAGAGACCACAATTCACCACAAATGTAAGCGTATCCTACATTGATGAAAATCTCTAACATGTTTTGCCAAATCAAATTATTTGGATGAAAAATCTTTCCCTGCTCAGCCTGTCTGCCTCCAAGCTCAGGTCTGGATGTTTGGGAGAAGAGTATGCCAGAAGGTAAAGACCTTTCTCGCTTCCTCTAGTTCCTTACTGCCTCTCCTTTACAGGAGATGAGAATGGTCCCCAGCATCTTTAGAGCACAGACCATGCATGCCCTCCCCCCCCACCCACACAGCCTGCCCTGATTATAAAGGATGACCACCCTTTATGGGTCTGTTCATTTCCCCCACAGGCTGAGCTCCTTGAGAACTATGAAGTATTGAGGACTGTGAAGTATTCAGCTGTCTGGAAGCACTGAGCCTGGAGCCTGGTTCACAGCATGTATGCAAGAAATGTTTATGCAATGAATAAGTTACAGTAAATCACTGTGAATTCCATGGCGGGGGATGGGGACACTAAAAGATCAAAGGACAATGAGGAACTATTCGTAATTTACCTGTTTCTGTTCTTCAATTAGTCTCTTTTCTATACATTCTTTGGCAATTCTCAATGCCTCTTTTAACTTTGTGGGGATCTGAAAGAAGAGAAGGTACATCCTCTATTGAGTAAAACAGCCAGAGATTCTCCCAAATCCAGAAGGAGGACATCTGTAATGAAATCAGTTACAAGCTGTCTACTTGAATCCTATCCTGACCACTTTTGGTATCCCCAACACACTTGGCTCATTAGCATTTTTTAAATTAAATTTATTAGGGTGACAATGGTTAGTAAAGTAGCTCTTTAGCATTGTTATTAGTGAATATTTAAAACAAACACATAAATAAACATGATGTTTCAAGGGTTAATTCCCAAGGGATTCTGAATTACCAAAACAATCTTGAAAAAGAAGATTGAAACTGGAGGCCTCACACTTCCAAATTTCAAAATATATTACAAAGCTACAGTAATCAAAATAGTGTGATACTGGTATAAAAAAAGACACATAAACAAATGGAACAGAATAGAGAGCCTAAAAATAAGCCCTCATGTATATGATCAAATAATCTTTGACAAGGGTGCCAGAAGCACACAGTAGGAAAAGGACAGTTTCTTCAATAAATGGTGCTAAGTAAATGAGATATCTACATGAAAAAGAATGAAGCTGAACCCCTACCTTACACCACATACAAAAATTAACTCATAATTGGATTGAAGGGCTTCCAGTCAAGATGGCAGAGTAGGTAAACACTGTGCTCACCTCACATCAAAATTACAATTAAACTACAGAACAAATATCAATGAGAATCACCTGAAGTCTAGCTGAACAGAAGTCCTATAACTAAGGATATACAGAGGAAGCCATGTCAACACTGCAAAAAAACAAAAATACCCTAGAAATAAACAATTTAAATAATCATCAGTAGGAATAAGGGACTGGAAAAAAAATTGTATTAAAGACCTAAATCAAACACCTAAAACTATAAAACTAGAAGAAAGCATAAGGGAAAAGCTTCATGATATTGGATTTGGCGATGATTTCTTGGACAGGACACTAAAAGCATAGGCAACAAAAGCTAAAATATACAAATGGGACCACATCAAACTTAAAAATGCTGCACATCAGGGCCGGCTGAGTGGCGCGATGGTTAAGAACTGGCTTGGGATGCCAGAGGGCCCCGGTTCGGATCCCACATATGAGGGCCAGTGGCACTGATCTGCCTCACCTGGGAAGAGCGCAATGATGGTGCCAACTTGGGCCAGTGAAGCAACGTCCTCCACAACTAGATTGAAGAACAAAGCGACAGCAACTTGTTTGTTTCCCTTCCCCCAATTCCCCAGCACTGTTCCCATCCCCCCAGTTCCCCAATAAAAATCTTAAAAAAAAAAAAATTCTGCACATCAAAGGAAACAATCAACAGAGTGAAAAGACAACCTATGGAATGGGAGAAAATAACTGGAAATCATATCTAATAAGAGATTAATATCCGGAACATATAAAGAACTCCTAAAACTCAACAACAAAAGCATTAAGTAATTGAATTTAAAAATGGACTTGTCACAAAAAATCGATTATACCACAATGAAGTTGAAAACAAAACAAAACAAAGGACAGAAAATCAAAGAAAACAAAATGGGAAAGAACCTGAATAGACATTTCTCCAAAGAAGATATACAAATGACCAAAAAGTATATGAAAAGATGATCAACACCTCTAATCACTAGAGAAATGCAAATCACAACCACAATGAGATATCACCTCATACACATTAGAATGGTCACTATTGAAAAAACAGAAAATAACAAGTGTTGACGAGGATATGGAAAAATTAGAACCCTGGTACAGTAATGGTGGGACTATAAAATGATGCAGCTGCTATGAAAAATATTATGGAAGTCCCTCAAAAAATCTAAAAATAGAATTACCATATGATTCAGCAATCCCACTTCTGGGTATATATCCAAAAGATTAAAAGCAGGATAAAAGCACACCCTATGTTCACTGCAGCATTATTCACAATAGCCAAGCGGTGGAAAAAGCCAAAATGTCTATCAACAGATAAGTGGATAAACAAAATGTGGTATATACACACAATGGAATATTATTCAGCCTTAAAAAAGGAAATCCTGTCACATGCTATAACATAGATAAAACTTGAGGACATTACACTGAGTACATAAAATAAGCCAATCACAAAAGGACAAATACTATATGATTCTACTTATATAAGATATCTAGAGTAGTCAAAATCATGGAAGCAGAGAGTAGAATTGTGTTTGCCAAGGGCTGGGGGGTGGGAAAAAGGAGAGCTGTTGTCCAATGGGTCTAGAGGTTCAGTCTGCAAGGTGAAAAAGTTCTAGAGCTCTGTTACGCAACAATGTGAATAACTTAACATTACTGAATATACTTAACATATATATAAAGCTTATTGGAACACGCACACAAATTCAAATAATTATAACATTTTATAACTTCAGAAGGATTTTTTCTGTGAAAGATATACTTTCTGAATTTCACAAGATTAAGCTTTTCTTGCTGAAAAATACTCTTCATAGCCTGGTGTGTTTCTGAGCCTGTCATTCCTTAATTTATCAGTGTTTTAAACCATGAGGAGCTCAGGCCTGGAAAACAGACACCCAGATCATGTTGAACCTTTTGTCTCTATTATTCTTTAAAAAATATAAACTTAAAAAAAGTTTTGAGTAGGTAATATAGTCATATGTTTCAAAATTCAAAAAGTATAAAAGGGTACATACACAGTCAAGTCTCCCACCTAGTTCCCCTCCATGGAGGCAACCAATGTCACCAGTTTCTTGTGTATCTTTCCAGAAAGAAAATACATATGCAAGAAATTCATGTTGGCTTTTAAAATCATATTGTCTCTGCTGAATAGACTCTGGCTTATAGGATGAGCAAGGTCTAATAATAATCCTTGGGCTGGACTATCAGGGTTGGGGAGAGTATATTTATTTACAAGGCTGAATACATTTCCTAAGGAGTTTCAGTAAAGAAGAGATGAATTTAAATATTTTTCTTTCCTACTTCAAATCCAAAGAAGCTATTACTATTATTGTCAGAACCCCTCTAACTGGCAAAAAAGGACAAAGGAGGGCTGGCCAAGTGGCACGTTGGTTAAGAGTTGGCATGGGAGCCAGCCGAGTGGCACGTTGGTTAAGAGCTGGCTTGGGATGACAGAGGGCCCCAGTTCGGATCCCCCATATGAGGGCCAGTGACACTGCCCTCTACAGCTAAGATGCTGAACAACAGCTCAACCTGGAGCTGGGCTGCCGTGAGTCGCCTGCGACGGCAGATGGGTTGCCATGGGCTACCCTGTGTAGCCAGCAGCCAGTGTGAGCAGCTAGCAGCTGCTGCGAGCGGCTGTCCAGAAGCCGGCGACTAATCTGCCTCACCCGAGTGCAATGAGTGCAATGAGTGCCTCACAAAGAGTGCAATGATGGTGCCAACTTGGGCCAGTGAGGCAACGTCCTCCACAACTAGACTGAAGAACAAAAGGATAGCGATTTGTCTGCTCCCCTTCCCCCAATTCCCCAATAAAGATCTTATAAATAAATAAATAAATAAAGCTCTTCTCAAAAAAAAGGAAAAAAAAGAGTTGGCTTGGGACACCAGCTCTGAGCAGCAGGGCCCGGTTTGGATCCCACATGAGGGCCAGTGATGCTGCGCCCTCATAGCATGAGAAGACTTTTGCCCTTCAGTGGGGAAGTAACCTCCAGTACACAGCTGACACAATTCCCCTGGTAACTGGAGTGGGGGTTTTCCCCAGGGTCATACTGGGTGGCTTGTAACCGTTTTTTGAGTGAGTTGATAAACATGAAATGGTGGATTGGGCTAAGCCTGGGGGATATGGTGAACAGCTAAGATGTGAAAGATGGTGAACAGCAGCTCGACCTGGAGCTGGGCTGCCATGAGTCGCTGGGTACCGCATAGGCTGCAGTGGGGCTGGCCAGCAGCTGGCGTGTGCTTTCATGAACTGCCGTGAGCTGCCATCCAATGGCTGACAAACGATTGCCTCACCAGGGAAGAGCACAATGATAATACCAACATGGACCAGTGAAGCAACAATTAGACTGAAGAACAAAAAAAGACAGCAACTTGTCTGTTCCCCTCCCCCAATTCCCCAATAAAAATATCTAAGAAAAAAAAAAAAAGACAAAGGAAAACATCTCTGTCACCTATACAATCTTCTGACCCCACCCTGTTTTTGTTTTTGTTTTTCCTAAATGTAATTTCAACATTAAGAGTATTACATATTCTTTGGGACTACAAAGAGAACTACCCTTCATTCTCCTACTCCAAAACAACACTAACAGTGAGTACTGAGGGGGGCCAGGCCCTCGACCAGGCGTTCACGTAGATTATCTCAGTTGTCCGATGACAATAAACAGGTATTACCAACCCCACACACTGAGTAAATGTAGACCCAAAGATTAGGCACCTGCCCATAGATTGGTGGCTCTCAAATGGGGATGATTTTGCCTCCTTCCCTCTTTAGGGGACATTTGGCAATGTCTGGAGGCATTTTTTATTGTCATGATGTACTAATCACATCAGTGGGTACACGCTAGGAATGCTGCTTAACATCCTACAATGCATAGAAGAGCCCTCACAACAAGTGTCAAATACTGTGGCTAAGAAATTTTGCCTTNTTACATGAATGCTATGCACCCAATATTAATCCCCTCTCTCCCCAGACTCAGGCAACATACTTCAATCCTAAAAATCTACTTTTCTGTTTAGAAGCCTTTATTGGCACCCCATTTCCTCACCAAGTCAGACCAAGCTTCTAAACTTAGTGTGCCACCCAGCTGTGGTTGCGTGTCCCACGACATGTGGTGCCCCACACTCTCTTCAGAGATTTGCCTTCCGCGGTTCCTGAAGACTGGCCTGTCCCCACCCCTCAGCATTTTCCATACCTGCCCATCTATCTTGCCAAATCAGCCTAAATTTGCTGCTCCCCTAGTGAGGATCCCCTCCTCCTTCCTCTGTACGCTCCCAGTGCTCTACCTGTCCCCTCCTATGAGATTCTTTCACAGTCCTTCCTGTATTAGGGCTACTCTCTTCTCCCAGATCATAAACTCCAGCTGGAAGGATACATCGTGATCTGGGTAAAGCTCACAGCCATATGGAAATACCTCTCTCTCCTGGAGCACTGACCCCTGCCTCTGGGCCTGGTAACTCTAGTTATCACCTCTCCTGAGAAGCCTTCCTCTACCTTCCATCTGCAACCCCACCCCACCCTCAAAGTGCTGCCCTGAGTTTACCATGCCAGTGCTCACCTGTCACTCTCCCTGCAGAAAGTGCCTTTGCGGTGGTGGAGAAACATGGCTATTCCTTCCTTGTTGCTGTATTCCTAGCATCTGGTACATAGTAGGCACTCAATAAATAGTTGATGCCACAAGAACTAAGGGTTTAATACATGTTCAATGAATGTGGACGCTCTCTCCCATTAGAACATGAAACCCATTAAAAGGAAGGCATCTGCCCTCTATTTCTTTAGCACTGGCTGACATGGGGGGAAACTGTATGCTCAGGAAATGCGGATAAACAAGCCCAGGTAGGAAAAGCAGGGAGAAGCCTTCAAGTCCAGCCTGAGCTTCCCACAGGACTCAGACTTCTCAGCTCAGAACATACCAGCTGCCCCCACTATGTGTAGCCTCTAGGCTCCTAGATCCCAGCCCCATGGGACGACTACAGGGAACACTGAGCCCTCCAGTCCTGCAGCTGGGCTACTACCAGGGGTGGTGTCGCAGGGGCCTGCACAACAGATGTGGGCCTCCAACCTCTCCAAAGCATCCTGCTCCTGTTCCGATTTCGCTCCCCCACCTACAATCCCTCCTTCCCTCCTTTTATTCTGGAGTCCACCACTATAACATATTCATGGGCTGCCTGGGGCTTTAAGACCAGAAAGGGGCTCCAACACTCCCCAGTCCACTGCCCACCCTGCACCCCCACCTCTTGATTTATAGGCCCAGGCCCTGAGGTCCAATGAGGGAAAATGCTGCCAAGGACAAAGCTGGGACTAGTGGTCCAAGTGACGTTTGTGTAGACATGCAAACCCCCCTTATACTCTGAGGGGCTTGAGGTTTGAAGTAGGAAGATGGCTACAGTGCAGTGAGGCTTTTAAATGATAGAAAGGCCTTGTTAATAAAATGAATAAGGCGGCGTGTGTATGTGTGTGTGTGTGTGTGTGTGTGTGTGTGTGTGTGTGTGTGTCCCAACACAAACCCTCATGACTGGGAGACACCTGTTTTCCCTGTACAGTAGCTGGTCCTCAGATAGACACGCTAATTCATATGAACACCTCGCGACAGTTGACTATGGGCCACACTGAGTTCTGGGAAGCCTGGACAAGTCCGCCTGGCTTTCTGGGGAATGGCTTAGTCAAGCCGGTGTGAAGGAGGAGGCCTGGATTTCCCTTTCCTGAGACTGCTGGTGAGTCAGCCTAGAGGCAACACAAGTTCTGACATTTCATTTAAANTACCAGGCACTGTACTAGGAATCATCTCATCAAATCCTCCCAACAACTCTCTGAGGTAGGGACTATTATTATCCCCATTTTATAGATGAGGAAACTCAGCTTCCAGAGGTTAGGAAACTTGCCCGAAGTCACCCAGGCAGAAGCACTGAAGCTGGGTCCACCCCCAGGTCTTTCTAACCTCAGACACACCCTTTATAACCACCCTGCTGCCTCTCCATAAAAGGACAGAAAATGTACTAAAGGAAAGGCCCCAAAGCACAATTTCCACCACTTCATTACCCATTCATAACCCTGGTGAAGAGCAAACGTCTTCTGAGCTCTAAGCCTCTAGCACAGTGCCTGGTACATGTTAGATGTTTAATAAATGTTACCCAGTGAGTAAATGAATACACAAGTACAGGAGGCCAGAAATACACTGCCTCTCTCCTGGAGGGCAGACCCTCCAAGGCCAATGACTTCTGAGCTGGCCACAGCTGTGGCCCAACTGGTGCCAGGGAGCAGTGTCATAGAGGACAGCTGCTTGAGTTGGCCTCCTTCAGTATGTCCTTAGTGGGGGCTGCCACATGTACACACACACAGTGCTCACATCGACAGGGAGAGACACATGTGAAAAGGAGACTGAGGTGACAGAGCAATTAGACTAAGGTGGCCAAGAAGTCACAAGGAAAGGTCATGACATCATGCTGCAAAACGACCGTCCGCAAACAGGTTCACTTCGACTCCACAAGGACTGCAGCTGAGTCTTTACTTCGGTCCCAGGCACTTGGGTTAGCAGTATCTGTTCAACACAGTTATGAAGATTATAACCAAGGCATATGATTGACTTACGGCATCTGTAAGAGCCGGGAGACGGTAGGCATGCCATTTTTACAGGCTTCACAAGACAGCGTAGACTCCAACACGGCCACTTGAAATGAACAGATACACATTTTAGTTCCACAGAACACGCTGGCAAATCCACTTGGTGATAAAAAGTTTGACACTGCTTTGCAACAACTGTCTGCAGGCCGTCCAGGACAGTGTCAAAACTCTTCACGCAGACAGATGGCATACAGGGGGAGGGGAATGCTGGCAACACTGATGTTACCGATGACTCAAGCTAAACGGTTTAGAAACCATATGCTGACAGAAAGCTAAATATATTCCAAAGATAATTGAAGGAAGGATTCAAGATATCATTCATGAAAGTGTTTGCTCTCTTAAATAAGAGAAGTAAACACTAAACAGAAATAAAATTCTGAACTTGAAAGACATTTTGCCGTGTGTCTGCTTTTAATCAAAACCAGCATGCAAAATGCCAATTGTTGATCCCTCATCATCCAACCCCTTGGATGATATACACAAAAGCAGCCAGATTTTCCTACTCACAGGTCACTGTTCAGTCTCAGCTGTTCAAACTCAATACAGAGTAGTCTCAGGGCCTGTTCTCTTGA